CGTAAAGCATCATCTCCTGTCAGGTCAACTTTAAAAAAAATGTTTTTTTGTTTACCGAATGGGTGTTCAGTGCCATAGCGTGATTATGTAGCATAAAAAAGGACTTAAAAAAAAAGAATATCTGCACTAAACTCAGCAGCACTGGAGTCACCCTGACCCCCTTCAAGTCGAGGACATTGCAGCACAGCGACAGATTCTTCATCAGAACTCGCACAGATGCTATTGAACAGGTATTTCGCGTATTCCAACGGCTTTAGTGGCTGGCATTGATCGTACACTGTGAAAAGTGGCGGCTGGCTGCAACAAGAATCATGCTGGTGGTGCGTCCTGGAGTGAAACCGGACCCTGGGACACGGAAGAGGTGTTAAAGCCCTGCTGTGTGTGTTTTTGGCACAAAAAAAATGCAAGTCACCGAATAAACAAAGGTACTTATGTCTTAAAGGTCGAATGTCACCAAAAGCTTCACATCTTGCACTTATCTACTCAAATATTGGCAGCTTTGACATCTAAATACCTTTTTTTCATTTGAAATGGGGCCTCGCCTCTGAGGCGCGCTCCACTTTACCTCTCAGGAAATCCTTGTTGCTTGGTCAAGCAGGTGCAACTGCATACCTGTGTGTTTTAGCTGTCTTTGTGTGCACATTCCCAGCTGCCAGTTCAGAACAACTGTTTTACTGCAGGAGGAGTTTCAAAGGGGCTGATAACAGTCAAATAAGTGGCGATATAAATCACTTCCCAGCACTGTGTGACTGCGACCCTCGTCGCTGCACATTGAAACTATCAAATGACGTCGCACGCCTAAATCAACCGCGTTCATGTTTGTTATATTTATGTGCCAGCTGCACAAAAGAAAGCTTTGTCCTCGGTCCCCACTCCCAGCCCCATTCAGGCATGTGACAGACCTGCTCAACATGTTTGAGGCGACGCCTGCGCTCTACCAACATCTTAATGTGGCTGACCCCATTCAGAAATAATGAAACAGAAAAAAAAAATGAGTTATTGCAGGAATTAAACAGGAGGAGGAAGCTGTGATGTTATAAACACTGGATCACAGCCTCCGTCTGAGAGCAAACATGGTTTTATATACCCCAGGTTTCTACTGTATTCACAAGGCGCTGTAAAGTTCTCTCTTCCTTTATTTTTATGAACAGGAATGTGCAGGGCGCCGATGAACTAAGCCCAGCTCCACCCGTTTATTGCTCAGAATGAGCCTGACGTCTCTGCTGGTAAAAGGAGAGGAAGAAACTTTTACTGCAGGCCTTTTAGTTTCAACGTTTGTGTGGCTGACCGGCCTTATGTGTTGATAAATGTACCTCTTCTATGGATGTCACCTCTATACCTCATGCTGTTTGCCCTCAAGAGCACGTATACTGTAAAGAAGAGTCTGTTTGTCCCAGCTTTTCACTCCTTGTGGCATGCTCCTCACAGCTCCCCATTTTAAACCTTAAAATATATATTTTTTACCTGCCACTGTTCGTATGTTACGAGAGTTTATTTTCTGCCCTCTGAAGGAAAGCTGACGAGGGCACTAAAACATGTCAGGGTTCGATCGTGGTCACACCTTAAAGTGAAATGAATCATTTGTATGGCTGGCAAAAAAAAAGAAAAAAAAAAAAGAATGGGTATATTTTCTAATTTTATTTTTTATGCAGCACATTGCGGCAATCACTCTCTTTATTTTCTGATGGTATATCTACTGTGTATGATGGTGAACTAAAAGATGTTATTATGAGACATATATGTATATTTGTACATATGTATTCTGACTTGTATGTATGATTAAAGCAGCTTTAATAAAGTCTTAATCTCTTGTTTTCTTAATCTCTTGATTACGTCAACATTTATTTTTTAATTTTCAAATGCTCCAACTGACAGTCATGTCGTGCATTGGGTGCAAACATGTTCCAATTACTTATCAGTCCAACCTTTGCAGCCTTTTCTCCTTTATTGTCTCCTATCATCTTTAAGGAAGGTACCAATTGATGTAGTCTAAAGGTAAATGTATCTTCTTTTGTGGCAGTAAATGAGCAGAGAAGATACAAGGGAGGATTTAAAATATGGTTAAAAATAAATATATTACAGTAAGTGTTGGAGTCTCAGTGATCATCATTGAAATTTTATCTTGGCTCAGCAGGGAAAACAAAAAATAGAAATAAAGAGATTTTTTAGCGGATTATCAATGTAGCCTTTGTATCACAGTTGTTCCCGAAATATAATTTACCCCCATTGGGAAAACAGATGATCTCTATTTAATTCTTAAAGAGAAGCTTTGTTATTCTTCTCATATTGCATATAGTGCCACCTTTTGAGTGAGAGTTTTATTGTCAGAGGTCTTCAGGGACCACTAGTTGATCCTTTGGACAGATAATATAGATGCTGAAATTTACACCATATGGTCTGCAGCTACATGTCATTGCATTATTTCTAGTTTTATGTTATTTTCACCCTTTTACGTCTTTGTACCATCCATTAATCCAGGCACACCAGAGGATTTAGATTTTGATAACGGTCTTCTAAAAAAATTTGCTAATTATTCAAAGTCAGCTTTTTCATCTATACCAGTTTGATTTCTGTCAACAAGGAAGATTAAATTAGACAAAAAGGTGAGGGTACAAATATGTGAAATATGAGCACAAATGGCAATGTTTAAAGACTATAGATCCTGCCTTTAAATTACTTTTTTCATCTAAACGCAAATCTGTTTGCTTAGCCCATACTAGTCTTAATTGCAAGCTGAATTTGACACCTTGCTTCACCTTCTATATAAAAATAAAGTTAACATGTAAGCAACACAGCATATCTTCATTTAAATCAAACTTCTGTCAAATCAAACTGTTCATTTAGGAAGCAACACTGATTGATAATTTCACATGCCATTGTGCAAATAAAATAGACAACAGTTGGAAATAATTGGCAATTATCGTAATATGAGAAAGGCTGTAAAACCCACACGAGTGGCTCAGGTAGTGCAGCTCATCCAGGATGGCACATCACTGCGAGCTGTGACAAGAAGGTTTGCTGTGTCTGTCGGCGTAGTGCCCAGAGGCTGGAGGTGCTACCAGGAGATGTGGAGGAGGGCAACAACCAGCAACAAGAATACTACCTCTGCCATTGTGCAAGGAGGAACAGGAGGAGCACTGCCAGAGCCCTACAGAATGACTTCCAGCAGAGCAAAATTCAGAACAAACAGAAACGGACTCCATGAGGATGGTATGAGGGCCCGACATCCACAGATGGGGTTGTGCTCATTGCCCAACACTGTGCATGACACTTGGCATCTGCCAGAGAACAGCGGATTTGGCTAATTTAAAAATGGCGCCCTGTGCTCTTCATAGATGAAAGTAGGTTCAAACGGAGCACATGTGACACAGTCTGCAGACACAGTGGAGAGCGATCTGCTGCCTGACACATCGTTCAGCATGACCAGTTTGGCACTGGGTCAGTAATTGTGTGGATTGGCATTTCTTTACAGGGACGCACAGCCCTCCATGTGCTCGCCAGGAGTAGCATGACTGACATCAGGTACCGAGGTGAGATCCTCAGACCCCTTGTGAAACCATATGCTGGTGAAGTTGGCTCTGCTAGCTCTCATGTGGCTGGAGTATGTCAGCACTTCCTGCAAGATGAAGGTATTGACGCTATGGACCGGCTCACTCGTTCCCCAGACCTAAATCTGATTGAGCATACAGTATCTGGGACATGTCTCAATCCATCCATCAATGTCACCTGATGGATGGAGTTGGTGGATATTTTAGTTCAGTTCTGGGAGGAAATCCCTCAGGAGACCATCCAGCATCTAGTATGGAGCATGCCCAGGTGTTCTAGGAAGGTCATACAGGGATGTGGAGGCCACACACAATAGTGAGCCTCATTTTGACCTGATTTAAAGACATTGCATCAAAGTTGGATCAGCCTATATTGTGTTTTTCCACTTTAATTTTGTGTATTAGTTCAAGTCCAGGCCTCCATTCATTAATACATTTGATTTCCACTGATATTTTTGTTGTCAGCACATTCAACTTTGTACAGAACAATGCACTCAATGAGAATATCCAATTCATTCAGATCTAGGATGGGTTATTTGAGTGTTCCCTTTAATTCAGGTCTATTTAGTTTATTTATATAGCGCCAATTCACAACACACGTCATCTCAAGGCACTTTACAATTCAACCAGATCATACAGTCAAATTGATTCAAAGTTTTATGTCTAAGGAAAACCAGTTGATTGCATCGACTCATTGACTCGAATGCAATCCCTCAAACCAAGAATGCTTGTAGCGACTGTGGAGAGGAAAAACTCCCTTTTAACAGGAAGGAACCTCCAGCAGAACCAGACTCGGTTTTAGCAGTGTATACAGAGAAATTGTTTCTATAAAATCACATGTAGTTTGAAAGGTTCTGTAAATGATTATATATGGAACCATCCTAATCACAGTGACACAACATTTGTAGTATAACTCAAATTTTATGCTATTGAAGTGATTTATTTTGAGCTGTCATTCAACCTTTGATGCTTACAATTTGGCTCATTTGGCTTTCCATACATTTGGGCTGCATTCCAGTTAGTTGGAACAAAAAAAAAACTAAACCTCTAAAATTTAGAAAAAATATGGTCTATAAAAACGAAAGGAAAAAAAACAACGAAAGAAAAGAAGGGAATTCAAAAGCCTACATTGATGTAAAGCGACGGCGAAGGTACTGAGGAGAGATGTGAACGAGAAAAAGATACAACTTAGTCAAGTTAGAAAAGATAAAATAAAATAACTAAAACCGGAAGTGGGGTATTATAAGGTCGTGATCAAAAAGTCTCACTGAAAACAGAAAATAAAAAAAACACAACAACAAGCTAAGCACGACGCTAAAAAATAAAATAAAAATAAATATGATTTTACCTTACAAGTATTACTTTTTCATTTATATACACTAATTCCCTTTGTACATAACTAATCCTTCCTGATTTTAATTTGAAAGTCCGGGACGGATGTAGTCGATTTTCTTCACGCTAGCCTTTTAGAATACCGGAGAACAACCAGATGGAATTCTGCACTCCCTTCTTACCAGATTCCTCGCGTTTTAAATTGTATCGCAGGCATTTTTAGCGGACATTGCGGCCCACAAACAGCCCTGGCGTGAACTCAGAAGGCTTAACGGGGAGGCTTGGCTGCGCTGTGAACCGGGACTGGAGCGGTCCGGGCCGTCTATAAAGCACCGAACATCTTTCCGTTGTAAGTATCAGACCTAGCTAGTGCTGCCGAACAGCAGTAGCTTCTTGTTGCCCTTATGGCTCTATATCTCTGCCCTTGGCAGTGTCTACAACTTCACCTAACGGTTTATAACGTCTGTCATGGTGGTACAGGAGGGGGAGAGGGGGGGTATTGTCCCTCCCTCTCCTTCGTGCAGTTGTTACTGCTGGGATGCTGTGGTTAGCTTCAGAAATCCGTCAAACAAGAAGGGAGTTTGGCTGGAGGCGAGAGGGGTGTAGCTTTGCTTAATCACATTGTCTGGGACTGTTAATGCGGCCTTATGCGCTGATCGCTTCCTTCCACCACCTTGCTAGCTCTTATCCATCTAAACCCTGCCCTGTATGGGTGATTTAGCTCTCTGGCTTCATGTATATGCCGAGCGTGTATTTTGTTTTTGTGCCTCCCCATCCTCCCCACCCTTTCCCCCCCTCCTTATCTCTTGTGTTACTTTGGTCTATCATCATCAAGCAAGGCTTAAAGGAATAGTTTTCCGCTTCCGGTGTGACATTTCAAAATAAAACGATACATAACACGATTTTTATTTTTAGCTTTGATTTTCAACTTATGTTTTTCCTCTCAATACATCTCTTTTTGT